TATGTGAATGCTGTTGGAGTTGGGCAAAACCAAAACAAAAGAAACATAAAAAAATTACCTTGGATTACTAATAGAGGAGATTTAGAAAAGAGAAACAAAAGCCAAAAGAAGAAAGTAAAATAGAAAAAACTATAAAATATATTAAATGCGGAAAAGTAAGTCACATTTCAAAATTTTATAAAATTAGAAAAAAAAATTAACAAACTTCACCTAGATGATGAAATTGAACAAAAAATTAATGAAATTTTATTATAATCAACAATATCAGATTATGAGACGTTTGGAAACACAGAATCTTCAAGTGAGTTCCAAATAGATGAAATACAAATTACATCTTAATCTTTAATAGATAATGAAAAACAAATTAATGTCCTAGCCAAAGACCAAGAACTCATTATTGTAATCATTGATAAAATTCAAGACTCGATAGTGAAAAGAAAATATCTTGAGAAATTAAAAACTTCAATGAAAGAAAAAATAGAAAAACCTACAATTACAAATAAAAAACATACGTATAATATAAAAGATATTACATTTGACAGATATGAATACTTTAAACCTAGACAGGTAACAAATGTAGAATTACAATAAGAAATTAAGGAAATAAAAGTGGAAATTTCAAATTCGAAAACGAAAAAAGAGAAATTAAAAACCAAATAAAATTCTTACAAAATTAAATAATTCCAATAAAAAATTCTTCCTTGGATATAGAAGTAGAATTAGAAAAATCACAAAAATAAATTATGGTTCTTATAGAAGTATCAATACAAAGATACTTAATTAAGTATATCTTTTAATCAACAAAGAATTTCAACTAAAAACACTAACACTTTTTGATATTGGTGCAAGTCAAAATTGCATCAGAAAAGGAATGACTCTAACAAAATATTATGACAAAATATCAAAAGGCATTAAAATTGCTAATGGTGGTAAACTTAAAATTATGTATAAAATTCCTAATGAAAAAATTGGCAACAATGGAATCAAATTTAAAACTCATTTTCTAAAGGTAAAAAATATAACTCAAGATGTCATACTAGGTACACCATTCATATCCTCACTTAAACCATATAAGGTTACAAATCAAGCAATTACTACTAAAATATTAAAAATTAAATTAATTTTCTCCTTCATGGAAAAACCAAAAATAAGAAATCTCAATTTACTAATATCTTTATCAGTTCATACATGTTAACTCAATTTTCTCATAAATCACAAACAAAAACAAATTACTTACTTAAAAGAATAAATCTCTCTTAAAAGGATAAATGAACAATTAGGTGATAAATTTGTTCAACAAAAAATTAAATAAATCAAAAAAAATTGAAAAAATAATTTGTTCTAATATTCCCAATGCCTTTTGGGATAGAAAAAAACATGAAATATACTTGCCTTGTGAAAAGGATTTTGAAGAAAAACAAATTCCTACTAAAGCAAGATCAATCTAAATGAACAAAGAAATGAAAAAATTTTGTAAAAAAGAAATACAGGATCTTTTAGAGAAAAAACTCATAAAGAAACATAATTTACCTAGAGCTGATTTGCTTTCTATATTACAAAAAATGAAACCTAGAAAGAAGAACACCAAGATTAATAATAAATTACAAACCATTGAATAAAGCATTAAATTGGATTAAATATCCAATTCCAAACAAAAAAGACTTGTTACAAAAATTATATAATGCAAATATTTTTTCAAAGTTTGACATGAAATCAGGGTTTTGGTAAATCTAAATTAAGGAAAATGAGAGCTGTAAAATGGCATTTACTGTTTCCTTCGATCAATATGAATGGAAGGTCATGCCATTTGGTGTTAAAAATGCACCATAAAAAATTTAAAGAATAATGAATAAAATATTTAGTCCGTACTTTCAATTTACCATTGTTTACATAGATGATGTTATAGTATTTTCTAAAAATTTAAAAAAAAGAACTTAAACATCTCAAAACTTTTATTAACATAATTAAGAAAAATGGATTAGTAGTTTTAGATCCAAAATTAGTCTATTCCAAACCAAAGTAAGATTATTAAGTCATTATGTAACCTAAGGAACTATTACATCGATAGAAAAATCCATAAACTTTGCAAAAAAATTTCCTGATAAAAGTTTAGATAAAACTCAACTCCAAAAATTTTTAAAAAGTCTCAATTGTGTCATTGATTTTTATCTTGACTTGAGCAAAATCTGTAAACCCTTGCACGATAAGTTCAAAAAAAAATCCTACTCCTTGGACTCCTACACATACTTGTCAAACAAATTAAATTGCATATTAAAGAACTCCCTTGTTTACATCTAGCAAACCCATGTACCTCAAAAATAATAAAAACAAATGCCTCAAGGATATGGAGGTATTCTTAAACAAGTAAAAAATTAGAAGAAACAAGTAGTCCAATTCACTTCGAAACATTGGATGCCTACTCAACAAAATTACAATATTATCAAAAACAGTTTTATCAATTGTTTTATGTTTTTCAAAATTTCACAGTAATTTAATCAATAAAAAATTTCTTCTATGAATCGATTGTAAATTTGTAAAAAAAGTTTTTTAAAAAGACGTCTAAAATATTGCTTTAAAATAATTTTTTACTTGATGGTAGGTAATTTTAAGTATATTTGACTTTGACATTGAATATATTAAAGGATAATCAAATTCCTTGCTTGGTTTTCTTACTTGAGAATTTTTAAAAGGAAAACTATGTCACCAAAATTGAGATATAAGAAGAAAAATGAGAAAAAAAAATGAGAATTCTCTTCCCAAAATCTTTCCCAAAAGACTAACCAAATCATGGTACAAAATTTGTATTCAAGAAAATGAACAAAAGGGAAAAAGTTGCTTAAAAATACCCTAAATTTACCAAAATGCTCAATATTCAAATGAGTTAACTCACAAATCAAAAATTGGATTGAACCTCTTTCTCAATCCTCAAAAGTAACTTTGGCACTTGCCTCTCAAATCAAAGAAGATACTCCTCTTAAACCAATTGCTATTACTGCAATAGAATGCTCAAAGGCAAAGAGGTTATTTTGTACAAACTCAAACCTCTCCAAACTATTTTTCCAATGTCACAAACAATATTCTTTTCTCATAAAAGTTCTGCTTAACATTTTCACATTTAGTCGTTCCAAAAAGTTTTATTAATTGAGGAAGAATTTTATAAAAATCTCATAATCTTGCAATTCGAAAAGCTTTTGATTCGAACAGGATATGTATTGTTTAAACACTATATAGAAAAAGATGACCCCAAATTCATTAATCACTCAACAACCCAAATTTTGAAAGTATTAAGATCCATAGACTGGGGAGGAAACCCAAACTCACTCTAAAAATTTCCTATCAAATTTACAATGGGAACAAATTACTATATGTTTTTCAATATTAGGACTACCAGCAAGCTTGATTCAATACTTTCTTTTTCAATAATAAACATACTAGACATTTTTTGCTAATATTTTTCAAATAAGAAAACCAATATAAATTCTCACTATGGTTTACTCACTAGTGGAATTAATTTAGAGCCATTGAGAGAGATTCTTCTCTCCAAAAATGATAAATTGTATTAAAAGTTTTATCAAAAATTTTACATTGACCCAAATCAGGACAAATTACATATCTCTATTCACTTTTTTTCAAAATTAATCATTTTTTGGATAACTTCATGAAACCATACATATGATATTAATCCCCAAAATGATACCCTATAGTAATCAGAATGTTTAAGATCAAGTGATAGGACAAGTTTGATGATAAAAAATATAATATATAATATCTTGATAATTGGTTCAAGAACCTAGCATCATGCAAAATAACTATCTCATATCAAGAAGTTGTAAGATTTTTACAAGTAAAATCAAATGCAAGTGTACTACTTGTCCAAGCAAAGAATAAACAAGAATATAAAAATATCATTATAGAAATACTTTTGTCCATCAACTCTGACGACGAAGATGAATAAAAGCATGAGACTTTTGAGTCATTCAACAAAATTGTTGACTTAAACCAAGATGAAAACTACATACCATCAAAAAGGAGTAAGAAGTAAAACAAAAAAAAACATCTTTGAAAAAGTAAAGAAAACAAAAGTATTTTTCAAAACATTTTTGCAAAGCAAAAACATCCTCGAAGATTTACAAAGCATATGCACAAAATAAAAATATCTTTGAAAAACAAAAAAATATAAAAGCATCTTTGGGACTTGCAGGGCATATTTAGCAAAAGAAAAAGAAATTTTCAACATTTCAATAAATTCTTATAAAATTTTCAAAACAATAATTGTTGACAAAAATAAGACGTATCTATAAAAGGCTCCGATTCTTGTTTTAACTATTTATTTATTTTTATATTATATGTAGAATAAATTTGTTCACTCCCACGCTAGGCTCCGTTGGCATCTGAAAAACTTAGGCTTGTCCCATTTAAATTATATTTATTATTAAAAAATATATAATATTTTTAATATAATGTAAAATTAAAATAAAAAAAAAAAATCACCAGGTTAGTGCGGAGTCTGAAAATTCTATTCAAGCCCTACCCAAAAACAGATCATAGTACAAGTGACTTTAGTGGTATAAAGCTTATTTCAGAATATACCGACCTTTATAATTTTGATTAAATTAAATTTCATTTATAATATGTTATTGTTAGTAAATTTTGTTTGAAGAAGACCACAACAACTTTTGAGAATTTTGGTTTGCATAAGTTCTCTCTTTTTTTTCAAAGCATAATAATAAAAAAATTTTAAATTATTCAAAAATATTTAAATAAGATTTTATTCTTTTATTTCTTTTAATTAAATTTATATGTTTTTATTTTTAGTCAAATAAGATATTCTTTTATATTTTATTTTTTTATTCCTATACATATATAAATAAACTAATCTCAATTTGAAAAACAATTATTAAAATTAATAATGTAATAAAATTTTCATTTTATTATATAAAAAGAATACATATGATCCACTGTATAAACTGAAAGTTAATAATAATAATAATAATGAGAAGGGATAAAACCCTACCGAGTAAAACCCCATCAAAAGCCTTGGCCCCTGCCTTCTTCCGAAACTCTTTGGTAAACCCCAAACTCCTTCATAAAATCAAAGAAGGCTTTGATTGCTGTTATTCAGAGTCGTTAGAGTAGATTACAGACAGAGATAGTTGGAGTTAAAGAGGAAAGACAAGAAAGAAAGAGAATGGAGCAAATGCAAGCGAGGGAAGCAGAGGAGTTCACTCTGGTCACCAGAAAGCCCTACTTTGATCTTCCGACGGCTTGCCCTCTTTGCTTACCTGTTTACATCTATCTCAAGCTTGCCCACCTTCCCTTTCATTTAGAATTCAATTCTGTCTACCCTGATTCAGGTTTTCTTTCTTTATCTCTCTCCCTTTTTGGTTATTCCTTTCTGATTTGCTTCAGTTGGGTTTCTTTTGTTAAAAATTTATGTCGTACTTAAATTCTTTGGTGGGCATATGGTTTTTTCTTCTTTCTTTAAATGACCCTATTGCCGTGTCTTTCTTCTGTTAGCAATTGGATTAAGATTGGATGCAGAATTAAAATGAATAAATCCCTTGTCCAAATTTTTAATCTAGCTACTTAGTACCGGAGGGATGCTTTTTTTGTTTTTGGTTTTATTTGGGGAAGGGAAACTAGAATCCAACTCTCTTGGGAAGGGTATATTCACATACAATTGAGCTAAATGCTGGAGTGTACAACATGCTTTTTAAGACTTTTATTTTTATTTTTTAAAATTTGGGTAGTTTGATTCTCTCTGTTATCTTCTTCCTGGTTGTACAATGTTGACATGAGAACATTTATCTATAAGTTTATTTCTTAAAGTAAGTTTGAGATTGAAGTGATAACTTGACCACTATTTAGTGTTACGAAAAGGGGGGTTTTTAACTTTACTTAAAACGTTTAATGCTGAAGGGTGTTGCTTGGAGTATTCTCTTGTAATCTGGATCGGGGGTTTGGGTAGGATACAAAGTAAGATTACACATTATGATTAATATGGGTAATTTGCTTGCCTGTAGGAGCATAAATTCTGCCTATTATCAAAACGTATCTAGACTTGGTTTCTTTGAGAACATTTTTACATAGCAAATTTTCTCAGCTTGTTCATGTTAAGCTTGTGTGGTTTCTTCTGTTTTTATATATGCCATCTGTTTAGGAGGTTGTGTGTCCTCCTTGAATGCTTTGCTGTTGTAAACTTTTAGAGTTTTTATTTTCTTTCTTTCTTTTCTCTTTTTTTTTTTTTAATTGATCTATCCTCTTTGTAAGAAAATTTTGTTTCAATTGGTTGCTGGATGCTTCTTTTTTAGGGGTTATTGCTGTAAATTTTCAATTGGAAGCAGCATGATCCGGTGATGATTTTCTGTTAAACAATTTTTTAAAATATGTCTAGAACCATGCTTATTTTAGACATCAAAACGCTTGAACTTGATGTTTGCCACCATTTTGAGTTTTCTATGAGCCAAACAATGATCCTGCATTTACTTAACTGTTGATACAAGTTGCAGTGGTGAAATATGATCCATACGGTCAACGTCACGCAGTACGAATAGGTTTAGTTGTTATTGTTTTAACTGTTGAAATAATTGGTTGAAGTCCCTTATTTTGAGATTTCACTGGTGGTCACTGTCTAATGGCTTGCTTATAACTATTGTGTTTTACTGACCTAGTGCTGTAGCATAAACATCTGCATGTCAATTGTGTTTATCACATGCAAACTTGTATTTAAGGAAATAAACATACTCATGATAATGCGTTTTTATTTATGTGACAGACCAAATTCCTTATGTTGAATCTGGTACTTATGTGGCCTACAATAATGAGAATGGTGGGGTTATTGAGCGTTTAAAGCAAGATGGCGTTGTTGATCTGGATTCTGCATTCCAATCAGTCCCTGACTGGATATCAATGAAAGCAATGATTAGCTCTTGGCTAGCTGATGCAATCATGTACGAACTATGGGTTGGGTCTGATGGAAGATCGGCCTACAAAATTTATTATTCTGATCTCTCATGGCCAATAGGAAAAGTTCTATTCCTAAAGCAAGTATATATTGTAAAGCAGCGTCTTGGAATAACAAAAGACAATGCTGAACAGAGGGAAGATGAGGTTTTACTTTAACCTTTGATTTTCTCTGTCATATGCTTTTACTCTCTCTCTCTCTCTCTCTCTGTCTTGTGCATGGGTGTTCATGCATGTACACATGCATTCATGCAAATGCTTAGGCTTGTGCTACTATGAAAAATCTGTACAGGGTAATTTCATATACTGATGTGTGTGTGTAGCTGGGGTTCAGTACTAAATTTAAAAAATTGTACTTATTTATATAATCTGTGTGGGCAGATTTACAAGAGAGCAAAAATTGCTTATGGAGCTCTGTCCACTAGGTTAGGAGAACAGAACTTCCTCTTTGATGATAGGTAATTCGTATTGATGTCCTGGTGTAGATATTAAAATCTGTTTGCTATAGAACTTTTGAATAGTTTCCCAAATGGTGTAGTATTTTAGTTAAACCTGAAGGTGATGTACACAGCTGCATTATTACATGTTTGCAGGCCATCAAGTTTGGATGCAACTTTTCTTGGACATGCTCTTGTCACCCTTCATGTTCTACCTGTAAGTAACCTCAGAAGCTATACTTTTGTATTCTAGCTGTTATCTCTGGAAGATGGCTTGGTTAATTATATGGTTGGTTTAAATCATTATAATTTGAACTTGGATTCAAACATCTTATGTGAATTATGCTGAGGAGGACTATCTAGTTCTGTTAAACCTTGAATAAACTGAAAATTTTGAGCTTGCTGGCTAGATGAATAAGCTGCTAAAATTGCGCTGTTGATGGGAGCAACATTATGCAAATTTACATAGCTATAGTTACTTAAAAGAAACATTCATGCCAATTATTTTTCTGCAATAATTTTTATGGCTTTGGCTGATAAGTGGTGTGTTTGAATTACGAATTCCTTCACTTGCTTGACAAAGTCACCATTTATGTCAAATATCAGCATCATTTTATCTCTTTCATGGTTATTATGAATAACTAGATAGGTTTTTATAAGAAGAGGTACATGGTACCTGATGGTGTCTATCTGACTGCTTTTGGTGCATTGGTAAAATGCCATTATAGCCAAATGCAAAGTGGATGACTCTGAGTGTCCTTGGCCAATTAAAGCAAAAGGTTCGGAGGGTATATTAAATTAGATCACCCCTTAGGACCTTTACTCCTATGGGACGACTGATGATTGACTTTGCGCTTTAATGATTATAATCTTGATTTCAAATTACTTTCTGGTGGATATATATCCAAAAGAAATATAAGCAATAATTAAGCAAGATTTTGATTAAGAATACAGATGATTTCTATGTATGAATGAATTGAAGATTCCAGCATCACAGCTTCTACGATATAGAAGTTTCCCTCTTTGAAGTGTTAGGGGATTTGTTGATTCTGTTCATCAAAAATACTTTATACAGAAGTTATCTATTTGTTTGCAATTTGAGCTGCTCATTATACGGTTACAGAATGTGCAAAACTAGATGCTCAACCTTAGACCATACACCGGGCTTTGCTTGGTACAGAAGAAAGGTAGTGATGTAACTGGGTTATTAGATTAAAAGATATTCTTTCTCCATTTCCATCTTTCCTATCAAGCAAAGCCTAAATGCATTTCTCCTTGTATCTCCTGGACTTATTTGAAGCGTGTTCCTTGTAATTCTGCGATACTAGGAAACTTCAGTGCTACGGAGCAAACTCTTGGAGCATGATAACATTGTCAGATATGCAGAAAAACTTAAAATGGAGTTTATTGAGTCTGGTTCATCATCTTCTGGCGCACAATTTCACTCAGTCCCTTCATCATCAGCTCCAAGAAAAGATTCCTCAAATTGGAGTAAGTTAGCATTTTCCTTTCCTTAATAGTTTAATTTTACTTTTGTTTGTGGCTGTCTGGTCTTGGCCTTAATCATCTTTGCTTGAATCTTTTTTATTATACCTATACTTTGCTTTCTTATGGCTAAGTTTTTTTGTGTCCTAAATGTACAGTTAAAAGAATTATCCTTCTAATTGCCATTTTTTTCAAAAGAATTGTGATGAATTAACTGCAATTGGTGTTTTGGCTGGTGTGGTGGTGATGTCCGGAATGATTCAGACTATATTATTTTTGGGGAAACATAATTTGTTTTGATATGTTGAATTTGTTTGAGCAATGAATTTAAATATTGATATGGTTATGTTGTTTTAATGCTGTTGGCATTGAGGTTGCTAAGTTCTGCATATGCAACAACTGATGCATCTTTGTAATTTGAATTCATTCCTATATGCTGAATTCTGGTGTCCACTAACTCATTTCGTCAGACAATTTTGAGATCAAGTAAACATGGGTTTCTTCCTTATTTCCCACGCCAGGATCAAAGCCCAAGAGCAAACCCAAGAGGGAGAAAACAGACGAGGAGAAAACTTTCAAGAGGAGGGCAAAATATTTTTTAGGAGCCCAGCTACTTGCAGTTCTACTTTTTCTCTCTGTGATGGGTGGATATGATTCCGGTGACATGGAGTTTGACGATGATGATGAAGGCTTCACTTATGATTGAGACAATCTCTCATTTATGTACAAACTTGAGTCCTCTTTTGTAACCGTTTCCAATGATTACTGACAAGGCTAGTAATCTATTGAGGTTGAATTTGTAATATTGCATTAAAATTGTGGAGAATAAGAGCATTAATTTGAAGATATGATTTGTTCTATAGGTGGCATGTTTTGGTTGGTATCTCTATACTTTAATGTGTTACTATATTATTTTTTCTCTGACATAAATGAGTGAAGGGAATAACGAGCAATACAATGTATTAGATTAGAGGGTTCAGGAATAAACCTGTTAATGGCCTTGAAACCATCATTGTTGTAATAATGCATACGATTATTGTTGCATCATATGTGACAGCAGCTGTGATATGAAGTGGAAATTCATTTTCGTTTCTGAAAGGCGTCAGAAGATCAGAAGAGGCACTGATTAGATTATATTAACCAAATTTGGCTCATACATTGGGAAGCAATAGGGTGTTAAAAGTTATGATTTACTGGACGTTGGTCACAGTTAGCTGTGGTATGTACTTCTTTTGTTTGGTTTCAAGGGATTTGATTTATTTCAGATAAATTGTGAGCGTGCTAAACATGCAAAAGAATGGAGTTAGCATGAGTTTGCCTTTAACCAATTTGGGCCTACCTAGCGGAAAATATGGCAAGGCATTCAGTGCATTTGCATTCTTCTTTTCTGGTTTTCCCTAGCAGGCACAATCCACTTGAAAATATTTACAACTTCAATTGCTTTAAGAAAGTATTAGGTCATGTCTTGATTGATTCACAGGAACTCTGCTTGCGTTTGTGTTTAGTTGCTCCCATTGAAATAAGTTAAAATCCTTGGCAGTAGCACCTTGCCTATCTCTTGTACTGTATGTGTAAGGCTTGGTCATGTTGGCAACCAAATATGTGGAAGACTAACTCTAACCTAGCTACCTTGTGCTGGTTAAATAACATTTGTAATTACAGACTCATCCAGACTAACTAGCTCAAAATCATAGATTACATCCCAGTACCACTTCAATTTTGTGGCAACGTGACACTTCCCCATTTGTTAACAAGTTCTGCATAGCCATCTGCAGAACCAACAGCAAACTCACTCAACGAGCTCATCGCAACAGACATTCCAGCACATAATACCCTTATGGCAACATCAGCCAGTTTCTCTGCTGTCATAACCTCTTCCACCTCATCAACTCTTACCAACTCCATATTTTCCCCACCTCCATACCTCTTCGACCCAACTGGGACAAAGCGAGAATCCTCTTTCAGCTGCTGTGTATAGAGTGACCCCATTCCAGCTGCAAAAAAATCTAGGCCATCCAGCACTGGTGTCTCACGAATAGCATCAAGAAACCTTGACCATTGGATGCAAAGTCCAAATATTCCAAGTGTCCCACTGGACCGACGAGGCGAAAACGACAGCTTTGATGTATCAGGGTCTGACCTCAAGCAGCGGAGGAGCCAACCGCTTAGAGCATGCAAATAGGATCGCTGAGAAGTGATCCACAACTCAAAACAAGCTCTCCAGTTCCTGAGCTCAGCTTCAAGGTTTGCAGCTGATTGGGCTAACCGGTGAGGTTCAGCAGCTGAGATGGAAGACTGCCTTTTTGCTTCTAGCTTTGAAGGTGCACCTGCTAGTAAAAGCTTAGCTTCGTCTAGGGTCCGCTTCTGTGACTTGTGACACTCTGCCATCACTTTCCACATCCTGCCTAACCTGTAGTTTATGAACTTAAGAATTAGTTTGAAATGATATGGATACATTTATTAACTGGACTGGACCATGCCTACATTGATGGATAAACAAAGTAACATATTTTGCTGTTGACGGTGGCATGGTTCTGGCAAAGAGTTTTCAACTATGCAACATAATTTTGGGATGTTGACTTGTAGCCAGACCGCATTTTTCTCATGTCAGGGGTTCCTAGCAGGAGAAAGAGGACACACTGTGGACAATAATATTTGTACAATGATAGCATCCTGAATTCTGAACTATTTGGCTTTAGAAATCATAATTAAATAATGGTATGGTCAATAAGAGTGGCATACTAAAAGGGTGGAATATACCAGAGAATGAGAACATGTCAAACTTCTTTAACAATAAAGATAACGAGCAAATATTAAACATCGAGCATGCATGATAATAAGATCACCATGTTGTTAATCATGCGTGTTTCTAAGACTACATATAAGTATATATTGGTTCACAAAGATATCTAGTCAAGCAGGATGTCATAGGACCATAATGTGCGCTAGAAGTGATCTTTTGATTACTGCATGGATCCAGCTTAATGATGTTTGGGGAATGGCAAAGACCAAATCTTGATGCCATTACACAATGAGAGCCTCCCTATTTTTTCTCGGCATTTTAAGGGATTCATCAATGACAATAAAGTTGCCATTAAAGAAGAGGAAACCATCATTATAGATGATAACATATTCGTACTTCAAACTTTTTATCACTTTCTGTGGTAAAAGCTAGCATTTTCTTTGATGGCTCCAGTACGTAGACTATGGTTGTCTGTGTGGGCAAACATAAAAGTAAGCAAATACAACATTGCGAAACTGACATACCCTTGTACCAATTCCAGAAGTTGAGGCTGCAACTCCTCATCCCTCAGGGTTTCGATTCTCTTTGAAATAGCTTCAACTGAATGTATTGACACCTTTATCTGGGTGTGCAGATCTCTAATTGCTGCCCTCGTTTTATCAACTGCGTGTGGGTCCTCTCCCTTCACATCTTGGTTTCTGAGCTGCCTGCTTTTCTTCTCATAAGCAATTCGAACCTTTTCTCCAGACTATTCAGAAAGGTATACATTCAGTTTCCTCTATTAACTGGAAAACATGGTTATTATTCTAATGGAATCTAATAGGCACCTCACTTGAAAATTCAAGGAGTAAAAACTTCCTTTCAGAAAAAAAAAAATAGTAGTAGTATTTCTCATGATTATGAATATTAAGAATCAATCGCTGCAAATTTTATAAACAAGGAGCAGCTATTTCCAATGGGAAGATAAGATTAAAGCCAAGTTTGTATATAAAAGCAAAGTCCCTAAAGGCATTTCGTTAATGTATTTGAACAAAAGGTTCCTGCTGGACTGATTCTTCCTAGAGCTTGCTTTGCAGCATAATCTATTCTTTAGATCTCTGAGGTTGAACAGAAAGCATCAATCTCTTGTCAGAAACAAATAGAAGGAAAGAAATAAATCACCCACAACTAGCAAGCAACCCCAATGCGTGAGTTAAATTTTTGAATACAGCCATATTCACCATTTGACCTCAAGGAAGCAACAATACTGGTTATCTTAAAATTCTGTTTTCCTTTTTTCTTTTAAAAAAAAATTTCCCCTGAGAAGTTGCCAAGATTGATTTAAATGTAGAAGATGAAGTTGTATTTCATTTTTTCTTCAACCTTTTCCTTTAGTCATCATTACTTTTCAGTAATAAAAAACTATTGGAACAGTGGTTACCAAAATCAACCGAAGCAATAACTACACTGTGTAAGTTTAAGTACAGGAAGCTTACCTTGACTTCCTCATAAAGTTTCTTCTCCCACGCCCACAATCTATCCAATGTTGATTGGTGGCTACCATGAAACATGCAGGATTCTTCTGATAAGTCACTGCTGCTTTCATAACCTGCCTCTTTGGAACTTGAAGAATTGATTAAGAATCTTGATGAGGATGAGCGTGATGAAGCTGAGCGTAATAAAGCAACCGGGTTCAACATTTTCATGGCTGTAAGAATAAATATTTCAAATCAATATGCTGCAACTTAAATGATCGGAAATAAGTACCAAAACAACAGACAGTCTTTCATGATGTAACACTATCACTGCCAAAGCCTGGCATGTTGCATAACAATTAGAGTAAATTGATAATGGCATCATTGCTCTGCATGCTTTTATGTCTAACTTCAGCCGATGTCAATGCAAGATATGAAGACATTGATAAAATTTTATATCAGAATCTTCTTACAACACTAGCTAGTCATTTTGATTCAAAGCAGCTTCCATATATTCATTTATTCTGAGTTGCTTCGAATTTCAACTAATTGCAAACAAAACATTAGGTTAATTGAGTAGGGATAACGGTTGAACATCCCAGCATTTTTTGTTTACAATACCAGCAATGTCCTCTGACATGATGAATGATTCATTGCTTCTATGCCGTGTTCAACTCATAACTTCATGAAGAGTATATCAACAGCACAACTAAAAGTTGTGATAAAATCAATTTGCAGTTTTTCAACAAAGCATCAAATTCACCAGAAATAATTAGTATCAACAAAAGTAATGTGATACCACACAATCCTGTCATGAAACATTTGTTTTATATTCAGAATGCACCACAAACATTTATGAGCTGGTGATATCTCAAATATATGTTAGCTGCTTGAAAGTCTCTGTGGCATTAGGTGTACAGAAGCACGTTCAGGGAAGAAAACCCTCTCATCATTCTATGGCTAAATCCTTTGCACAATGTTCAGATATTTAAAAACTCAAAGTAGAATGTTAAGATTTGAATTTAGCATTTCTAAGTAAAGTTACTACCAGCCTATGAAGCCAAGTTGTTCACAGTAGCAAAGACAGAGCATTCTGTATTTGGACATCTAACAAATTTTGAACTTCATATTTTCTTATTGGAATCCAAATTTAGGGGCATCCCCTATTTTAATTGCATCAAAGCAGATTCTTATTCAGATCATAAAGAGCCTTACCACATTTAACTAGATCTTGCTCATGGGATGGGATTGCAAAGAACCAACTATGAAAAAACAAAGTGGCTAAGGAATTGAATCAATGCACATAGTGAGCCAAAAAAGAAAAAAGAATGCTGTGGTGTTACTTTCAACCTGTAAGCTCATTTGAGGTTGATGAGCACAAAGCTCTGCTAGCCTCTAACAATGCTGAGACTTCGTTCGCCGCATCACAAGCTACCATGAATTGAGCTTCCAGATCCTTGATAACTTCTGCCATGCTTGTTGGCCTTCGGTTTACATAAACAGTAAAACCTGGTGTTTCTTCTTTAGCTTCATTTCCACCAAGTGCCATTTCTTTGTTACTGACTTCAACTTGCCCTGCAGTTTGTGCTCGTACTACTTCTTTGCTCACTTTCCCTTGTGATTCCAAATCTTGTACTTCATGCTCAGTCTCATTTCCACTATCTATTTCCTCCTCATCCTCATTAACATCTTCAACAGTAACTTCTTCTCTAGTATAATTTGTATTCACTTTAGCTTTTTCTTCTGTCAAATTCGCCATACTCTCAGGTTCTTCTTGTTCAGTTTCATCTTCTTCTAAATCAGGAATTCCTTCTTCCTCCCTGACCTGCCTTAGTCCTCTGATATCATCCTCCATGACAGCCTGATCAAGACTGCTTCTGTTGGGATAGCCATAGTAGTCTAATGATGAAAATGGGTTCCAGAAAAAGTCCCACTGTGATGTTTGAGGTGAAGGAGGAGGTATGTTGGGTCTATTGTTGGGAGAATAAGAGAAGAATGAAGAATTCATTGGTGAGGATTGCATTGCAAAAATACCATCAATGCCATAATGGTGTACTGGGGAGTAAGTTTCAATTCGGACAGTTTCAGGTGATTGAGGTCTCTCCTCAACTGAAACTGCAGGGTTACCACCTGATCTCAGGTAATTTAGTTTCAAAGTGGACTTGGGATTAGATTGAATGGCTGCAGGTGAGAAGGATGAGGGAGAAATCGATATGAAACCATGACTTGCTTTCTTTAGGGGTGTGAAAGGTGGGGTTATAAATGAATCTAATAAGAATTCACGGGGCTCATCTCCTTCAATATAATCTCGAAGAGCTGCAGAAACTCTTTTTAAGGATTGGATGTAGGCTACATGCCCCGAGGCAAATCGGGTTCTTTGCTCTACTGCCTGTTTAATGAAATTCTTTCGATCTTTACAAAGCTGAACCGCTTCTTCATCATCCAGTTTTGACGTAGAACATCCCATGATTTACTTCCTTCTTTACTCCCTTATAATAGTAGAATGTGAATTTTTCAGACTTGAACCAAAGCAGAATTCCCAAGGGTGCTCCTCAGTATTTCTCACCAGATTCATATGGATTTTCCCAGGCTGCTCAGCAAAAACAAATGAGTTCAAGAACTTAAACCATCTTGATGAAACATTATCAAGCAGGAAAAGATTTCCTGAGAAATGAAGTTAAAGGACAGGTAAATTAACATATAAACAGATTTTTTAGCTGATATGCAAGGAAACAATTTTGAAAAGTTATGGTACTTAAATTTCAAGTCTCAGAACATTTCAAACCTGAACACCAGAACAAAGAAATGGACATTCATTTAAGATTTCTCCATAAATTCTCCCAAAAACCAAAGAAAATGGTCAGAAAATTTGGTGTACCTTCCGAGTAAGAGATTATTTACAGAACACAAGCTACCAAGCCTAAGACAAAGATGAATAAATTTGTTATAAATGTTTTGAGATTGCAATGTTAAAATTTAGAATAAAGAATTTACTGTTTAACACAAATGATCAAAGCATGAAATTTTTGCCAGCCTTTTAACAGTGATAACATAAGCTGACTGACAAGAAAATGGTAATAGCATAAGAAGAAAAATGCATAGGAACCTGAATGAAGATGAAAGATACAGAAATATAATCCAAAAGGGAGAGACAGAGAGAGAGAGACTGCAGAATCACAATGTTCAGTTACAAGGCAGCCAGAAAAAGGACACAACAAAATTAGATGAAAATTCTCAATGGAAAGAAAAGAAAAACATTAATTTAGACTTAATCAAATGTTGAAATTCTCAATGGTTTCATTTGATGAGAACAAAAACATTGATGAAAATTCCAATCACTTGTTGTTATTGAAAATTCAAATGAACTGTTCATTAGAAGAAATATCACCACAAACATCTGATCTTTTTCTTGAAGAAGGAAAGAATGAAGAATAAACAGTAGCCACTTTAGAACTATGCAGAATGTGTTGGAAAAAAATAATAATAGAAAAGCATTCCAAAGTTAATGAAAACAACCCACTTTTGTACATAAATGAAACATTAAAATAACCTTTTCAGTTACAAAAATAAAGCCAATAACCACAAGAATTCAAGATAGTAATCATACAAAAACATCATGAAAGAAACCCAGATAACAAAAGAAAATTTAAAGTCTTTTGAAAAAAAAGACAAAGAAAGAGTCATTTAGGACAGAGAAACAAAAAAATTGCCTCAAAGTGAAGCAAAACAAGCTAAACAAAGCATGAAAATTTAAACCCATAACAAAAAAAAAAGAAAGAAAGATTTAACATTCCATTGTTATAATAGACTTTCATTACACAAAAAAAAAAGAAAAAAAAAATTCATACCAGGGAAGAAATGTAGGCGGGAATAAGATGGAGTTGCTTGGGCTTTGATGAGAGAGAGAGAGAAAGAGAGACGTTGAGAAAAGCAACGGTCAAAAGCCAAGTGAAAGAGAAAGTGAGGAAATACCAAAAAAATTAAAAATATATTAAAAAACAAACAAAAATAAAGTTTCAGGTTGGAGAACTAACTAAAGTAAGAGGTGGGGGGACAAGGAATATGAACTTGTCAGAAAGCTTGCCCTTCATGCTTGACTTTATTTCAATAATGCCACCGAGTCGTATTTCGTGAGTTCCGTCAAATGACAATTGTACCCATCTCCTTCATGCTGGAATTGCCTTGGATTATTGCTGCTATTTGTTTGCTTTTTATTATTGTTTTGAATAAAATCATGCCACCTGCGTTTTAAACGGTTGGAATGTTTGGGCTTACAATGCATGATTGGCGGTGATTGTGCTTTTAATATCAATGAAAAAACACAAGCTAAATAGTCCAAAATACTGTTTCTATTTGTTTACAACAGTAACATCATATAGACATAACATTTGAAATAAATTTTGAAGTATTTAAAAAATTTTTTAAAATTAATAAATAAATAAATAAAGATCTTGAATTTATAAATAAAGATTTCTTTACTTTAAATTGGAAACATGAACCTGTGGCATATACATTTTTATATTAAGTGAAATTTACACCTTATACATAAAAAATCATTACATTAATGGTAGTATTTGTTAATTAATGTATATTAGTAAGAGATGAAATGATTTGGAATTTATAAGTAAGGATTGCCCTTAGTTAGTACTATTGAGGCAAACCCACAGTTGTTATGTGACCAAACTTTGATTTAACCCATGCTCATAACACTTAAATGGTTGAGATTTGATGACTAAGAATGAGATTTAGCAAATTTATCTCTCCATTCCTTTTGGCCAAAGCTGTAAAATGCAGCATAATATGTTTGGTGAACCACTTAATACTTAGGTGTCAATAATTACGGATCTTTGTCTTTGGCTTTTGACTTATTTTTAACCTTTTTCATTATTTTACTAATTTAGGGTTAACACTAGGATCAATGTGATTACGATTGGCTACTTAATTCACAAGCCTGATAAAAATCTAAAACAATTTACATATTCTTTATTTTCTCACTAAAGTTAACTTTTTCTTTTATCTTTTTTTTTTTTTTCCATGTACACAAAGAACCTTCCATGCACTGCCAAGTGCCGAAAGGTAGAAGAGATGAGGACTGTTCTGGACCGGATTTTCCTTTTAAACATCACTTCCAAAAATCAAATGTTTTAGAGCCGTCTGATTATGTCCACTAGATGGGTGGACCCATTAGTATTTTGGACACATGTCTTCTTGTCAATGGCTAATCATTGCATGATAAAAATAATACTACCAAATAAAGATGGTGGATGTTTTTTGGTTAATTTAATCTCATTTCAAGGATAAATTTGGCCCAAAATAATTACTGGAGAGAATTTTGAAAAGCAAAAAAGGAAAGTCGGCTCTAAAGAAAAAGAGACACCATCGGTCCCAGAGGAAGACTCGGGATGCCTCGGTAATGGCATTCACCGAAATCCCCCACCAGTTTATAACCAATTATCGGAAATGCCATTGTAGAGGAGTTCACTCATCCTACTGCATAACAATTGGCATTGGATTTCTATCAGATTTGATCAAGGGAGGGTTTGGATCGAGTTGTTCAAGTCATTTCAGTATTTATTCATTTGTTTCAATTATCTCGAATTTCGCTCATATTTAAATTGATTTTGTATTATAAATCTTACTTAAAATTTTATTGCTTTAACATGGATTAAATGTTCAATTTTTTTTTAAATGAGCTTTTGTATGTAATTAAATTTTATATTTTGTGAAAAATTATTTAATTACAAGTTTGATTAATTTTGGTTCTTATTACAGGCTTAAGTCTGACCAATTTCGAATTTAAATCATTTTATATTAGGGTCACTTTGAAATTTAAATTTTTAATTAATTCAAACTTTGTTAAATTTAGATTTTTTTTTTTTGAGCAAGTTCATTCTACTTACCCTATATTTGACATGTAACATGAAAAATCCTCTATTATTAGTTGAAATGCAACCATTTATACTTAATTCTAACAAAATTAAGGGTTTCTTGCAAACCCAGTACGGTGGGATTTGCGAGTATAAATCCCCTGTCCCCTCCCATGACCCACACTCATATATTCACCCTATTTGTCCTTTTGCCTATTAAAATAAGCTAATGGCAATTGATTGTTATCCCACTCAAGTTCAAAAAATTAATGAGACCTTTTTTTGCTTTGAAAAGCTGATAATTCATTCATCATAAAGATCAGTGCTACAGCCAACAAAGAGGAAAATCAACCTCCAAGCTACCAGATAAAATTGCAAAGAAAACACAAAACTTATCTGCATCATCATAACCAGCCTTGCCTTCCTTAGAAAGCAACATATACATCCCCCATCAAACAAAAAGAAGTTAGCCAAACCTCAAAACAAATAGATAGAGGTGATCCAACTAAAGCACCTATACAACTAAGCTGTTCATACACACTCTACAAAAGTAATAGCAAAAGTATAGAAGCTCGCTCGTACACTTCAAAAATCTTTTTTGTTCATTGGTTGTCAACACAAACCGCTTCCTTTTCAGGCTCATGAAAACCACTTGTCCAAAGCACCTCCAATGATCTTGTATAGACAAAAAAAAAAAAAAAAAAAAAAAAAAAAAAAGGCCAAAATAGACAGCAATAAGTCGCCATGACCAGGAAAAACCAGCATTCATTGTAATCCTGATGTGCCTTCAACCCCTTCATCCAACTCATTAGTTACCCATATAAATTCTTTCGATCTTTGCACCTCGATTTTAGCTAAGTAATCTGCAACTTTGTTTGTAGATCTTGGTATTTTCCTGAAACTCCATCCCCTCAGTTGAGATTTAAAGGACTCCATTTGCATCATTGTGATCTTGATCTCCAAGAGGCCACTGATGGATCCTTTGCCCACTTCACGACCTTTTTTTGAATCACTTTCCATTATAACGTTAAAGGTGGTAGCCCATCATGAAGTTGTAACTATTTGAAGAGCCTTTTTGACAGCCATGGTTTCAACTGTATTAGCATTCATCACACCAACAGGAATAGAAACTTGTATCAAAATTCTACCCTCGTTTCTAAACACCACCCTAATTCTAATCCACTTTAAACTTAATGCTCCCGTTAAATGGTGGCTGTCATGCCTCAATAGGTTTTCCAGGTTTGGAATTTTTAGGGGGCAGCTCTCATATTTGGCATTTGTTCCAAATTCGACACTGATATATTTAAATTTTGCCATTTGGCATTTGCCACTGAGTAACACGTAACTTCATTATATCATAAACTTCTAAACAATCCCATATTCTGCCTTTAAAAAGAACGTCATTTCTAGCAAGCCAAATTGAACATATTATCGCCAAAAATGCCATTCTCCATATTCCCATTATTTTTGTCTTACCAGCCACATTCCAATTAAGAAAATAGCCAAGTGGGTCTCTGTGATTAACCCACATCTGCCCCTAATTGTTTGCCCACTGGTGCCAAATTTTTCATGTCTCATCACAAGTGAAGAATAGGCGCCCCACAGATTCCAATTCTCTTTTAACACAATAAACAGCAGGTAACATTATGTCTAAGCAACCATTTCCTCATCAATACCTCCCTAACTGCAATTTTTCCTTCAATTAATTGCCATCCAAAAACCTATATTTTAAGTGGATCTAGTCTCTTCCATAAATTACTCTAGAAGCATTCACTTTCGTGGTTCAATTTCAGCACATGTCTACAAAACGATTTAGCTTTATATAAGCCACTGGTGGTGCCTTTTCAAATTAATCTGTGATCAAAGTTTTTCTTCAGAAATTGCTCATCCAGTAACACACTAAAATCAGCCTGTTGGTTTTCCTCCCAACCAAAAACATTCCTTTCAAGTTCAATTTGCCATTACCACTTTTCATCCAGCCACTCTCCAAATTGTTCAATAGTTCCATTTTTAGTGGTTGCCAAAGTAAAAACTCTCGGTAAGCTTTCTTTCAAAACAACCCCTCAATCCACTGTTCATTCCGAAAATAAACTTTTTTGCCATTACCAACCACAAACCCCACACCCTTTTTTACCACTTGTGGCCTACCATTTATTGAAAAAAGTGGCTTCATAATATTCTTCTAAACTCTCGAAATCATCCTCATATTTCCTCCAATAGGCAACAAGCTTTTGCCAATACCTCTTATTTTTTCAATAATTATTTTCCTCCATACACTTTCGGATTCATTCCCAAAATGCCAAATCCACTTATTAAGGAACTCATTCTAAAAACTATCAGGACCTTGGTCGAATACAAAAGAAAAAAACAGAAAAAACACTCGTTGTTGACTCATATATTTTTGATGATAACAAAACACTCCTTATTTACTAATGTTTAACTTCATTATTTAAGTGTGCAAGATATAATTTATTTACCCTAACAAATTTGTCAATTAAGGGCAAGTCAAGATGCTTGCAAAATTTGACTATGAGTTAATCACTTAAAGAAAGAAGGGATAAAGTGATTAGTAAAGATAGAACATTGTTAACTAATTAACAAGGAGCCTTAACCAGTTAAGGATAACTAGACGCTGACTTATAGAAAGATAGAGGACTTTTAATCAATTAGCACCAAGCTTAACTGATTATGGAGGTGTTAGAAGTTGAATTCAAAGACATACTATTCGGTTAAGAAGTTTGGTTAGTCAGTTACAGCACATAGACCCATTACTTTCAAACACCAAAATTAAGTTTAAAAAGATAGTTGACAATTGAAAAGAGCTAAAATGGAAAAGTTTAAAATTTGAAGATTTTCTAGTTGATTAAAACTGATTTTAATCAATTATGGTTGAAAGAAGTAAAGCTTCAATTAGTTAAAGGAAGGGTT